TGTACTGTGATTGCCTAATATCTAATGCTTATTTTATTGACTTAATAATACTACAAATCTTTTCTGTAAATTCAAACAAATAAACACGTCAATCCTTCAGTTTGCCTTTTTCCCCCCTTAGAATTTATAACCACCTGCCTCCAGTCTGATATTACGATTCACTTATTTATCTCTAGGACAAAAATCTAGCACCAGAAAGAGTCTGAAATGAAGCCAGATCCAGTCCCATCCATTTGTAGTCATCTGAACAACTGCCTGTAAAAGTGAATGTCTTTCCCAATCAAGCAAGAAACAGGCAACCCACCTCTTCAGATTGCAATTCTACTTTGCAACAACTTCTAAAATTTTGTCAGTCATAGACAAGAAGCAGCACTAAGACAAACACCACAGCACCTCATGCACAAGGCAAAAGACAGACAAAAAATGTTAGCATTCATAAAATCCCACAGTGCTCTGATCAAAGTTTCTGCTGACTGGCTGCATATAGAAAGAGCCAGTCTGAACCTACATTTGTTATATGAACAAATATATGTACAAATTAGTGCATGAGACTAATTTGCCACTTTGTTCAGTAGACTTCAGCTAGCCTGCATGACCAATGAAAAGAAAGAAAACTTCTACAGAAACAATAGATCATAAAGAAGCATACAAAGTTGGAACAGTAAGCAAACTTGAAAGCCAGATCAAGCACCACACCAGCATATATAAAACAATCTGATTAACTAGATTGGCCAGATAAGGCAAAACACTATTACCAGATCGAGATCCAGAGCAACAAAAATCCACATGACTGCAGAGACAGTTGTAGAAGCCAAGCCTCCTCCAAAAATACCATAAGAAAAAAAGACTTTTTCTCGATACCAGTGAGTTCAACTATAGCAGCTGAGTAACTGAATGCCTACCAGAGCAACCAAGGCCTTAATAACCAGTCCTAAATACATGGTCTTGCCACCTTGGCATTCTGTGAGTCACTAAAGTGAATGAATTGCATAAATCCTTGCAGACTGATGGACTTTTGAGTGACCTTACCCCAGGCGTAGGACATGCCTCACTTCCAAGGACTTCATACACCGGTGGAAATTGCCACCAGAGCATACAGAAGTAGTAATAAGAGCAAAGGTTTACTTATTATTTATCTTTTTTCATTTTCTAATGCTATGTATCAGATGGAAGCAGAATCACAGAATCACAGAATGATATGGGGTTTGAAGGGATCTCTGGAAATCATCTAGTCCAACTCCCCTGCCAAAGCAGGTTGCACAGGATGGCATGCAGGTGGGTTTTGAATGTCTCCAGAGAAGGAGACTCCACCACCTCTCTCAGAAGCCTGTTCAGTGCTCTTCCACCCTCAAAGTAATGAATTTCCTCGTCATATTGAGACACAACTTCCTATGTTCAACTTTGTTACCTCTCGTCCTGTCACTGGGCACCACTGGAAAAAGACCAGACCCGCCCTCTTGACAACCACCCTTTAAGTATTTATAGGTGTTGATCAGATGGCCCCTCAGCCTTCTCTTCTCCAGGCTAAAAAGACCCAAGTCCCTCAGCCTCTCCTGGTAAGAGAGATGCTCCAGACCCCTAATCATCTTTGTAGCCCTTTCCTGTACCCTCTCCAACAGTTCCCTGTCCTTCTTGAAGTGGGGAGCCCAGAACTGGAGGCAGTACTCCAGACGGGGCCTCAACAGGGCAGAGTAGAGGGGAAGGAATTAACTCCCTCAACTTGCCAGTCACACTCTTCCTGATGCACCCCAGGATGCCATTGGCCACCTTGGCTACAGGGGCACATTGCTGGCTCACGGTTATCCTGTTGTCCACCAGGACTCCCAGGTCTTTTTCCAAAGAGCTGCTCTCTAGCAGGTCAACCCCCAACCCGTACTAGTGCTTAGGGTTATTCCTTCCCAGGTGCAGCACCCTACACTTGCCCTTGTTGAACTTCATTTGGTTTTTCTCCACCCAACTGTCCAGCCTGTCCAGGTCTCTCTGTATGGCGGCACAGCCTCCTGGTGTGTCAGCCACCCCTCCCAGTTTAGTGTCATCAGCAAACTTATTGAGGGTACGCTCAACAAGAAAGAAAAGGGTGGCTTAGGTGGTGATACTGTCCATGTTGTACAGACAAGTAGCAGATGCTGCGAAAATAGCAAACTAAACAGCGCCATTCCTCTGGACAGAAAGTGCTACTAATCACAAATGCAACTTAAATTTTGTTGACATAGTAATTAAGTGCAAATTTCAAACTTAAGGGAATCTGAGAATTTTCATCATAAATACCTTTCAAAAGCAGTTGAAAAAATAATTCGGCAAACATCGTAACAATTGATTGACACCTTTAATATTGCAGCTGGAAAGAATCTTTTAGAGAGTAAGCATACCCTACTTTAAACCTCAAGAAAAGAGGCTTCTAAATTGCAACCAGCCTTTAATCAGCACATTAATGAATACTTCTACCACATAAACAATAAGCACCACAGAACTTTGCTAATTTTCACATCAATTATCCACAAACCAAAGCTTTATGATCAAGAAACCACAGTGGCCTCTTCCAACTTCCCAGCAAGAGATTTATTAACAGCACACAGTAGTGAGACGTCCTATTACCAAGACATTTACCACATACTGTACAGGCCACTTACTATAATATTATGAAGTAATTAATAACACCTGCATACAAAGAAGAGAGTATGCCTGCTTACTGTCTAAATCAAAAAAATTAACAAACCAGAGAGATGGGAAGAAACCATTTCATTAGCAGAGAAAATTAAAAAAAGTTTTATTAACAAAATTCAAAGGCCTGCATGACCAAAAATTTCTCCTTACATCAAAAAGAGCTAGAAAAGTCATGTAGTTCACAGGAAGAAAAAGTTCACACATGTCAAAAGCTGAATTATTCTTCTATTTCAGTTGTACATGCTAGAATCTCAGAAAATTCTGGAAAAAAGCCAGATTCATCAGTGGGGCTTTTTTGAAAGTAAGTCTTGTCCTTTTAAACACATAAAAATATTTAAAGAGATACTGAAAGCAAAAGCCATGCATTAGATCTTTCAGATATCTTCCAGACCAGAGTCCATGCTCATCATGATGGTTATTCCTCTTCACCTGGGATTCTCTATTCTGTGCCTAGAAAAATGCTGTGTTGCAATCTTTATTAAACCCTATGTCCTGCATTGGTAAAATTTACCTTTCATTGTGGAAAAGGTAAATTAAGGGGAAGAAAAAAACATTAAAAGAAAATAAAAAAAACCAGAAAAAAAAACCAATTATGTGAAGTTTAGTGACATTTGGACCCTGTAAACTAATATAAATTATTTGCAGGCATGTGCTGACATCCACAGAGATCTTCAGCAAAATGCACATTTCCCATATGCAAATTCCACATACTTCAATTTCCAATGTACACACATATGCACCTACAGAGCATCCAGAGGTCTGAGACAAGTCTGTTGTGACTGAAGATGGTCAAGAACTCAGGAGAAAGAAATAATGTCTCATAGGTTTAACTCTGGGTATTCAACATCAAAAGTTTTCAAAGTAAAATCCTAGCTACCTGGTAGCTTGTGGATGTGCCAGCCAAGAACATTACAGAAGACTATGCTGGAGTTTCTCATTTGTAGTAATCCATCTCAGTCCACCAGAAGACCTTTCTACACCCAGCAGATTAATCTACCTTCTAGTCCATCCATCTGGAGAGATGGTTGGGTCCATTTACCTCAGCTCAATATCACCTCCCACTTCAGGTAAATCAGATCCTGCAGCACACAAGACCAACTGTGCAACTCACAAGACTCCCCAAACAGGTTGCTTTTTTTGGATCGCACTAGACACTAGCCTAATTTTTGTCATGAGTACACCACCACTCCTGGCCCCTGCAGGAAGCTGGACACGAGACCAACAGCATGATACGTGGCAATAAAATGCATTACTGCCATTAAATGCCACACACGTTGTGTCTGCAGCGGGTCCCCTACATGGCAGTTCCTTGTCAGCAGCTGCTGTCAAGGGCATCACAACCTCCACATAGGCAGTGGAGAAAAGGACACTCAATGGGCAAAGGTGGAAGGAGAAAAGGTTATCATATGTGTTCCTCCTGCTATTCATCTTCACTTAGAGCCTTCCCAATCCAAATTAGCCCTCCATGAGGATACCCTACTCCCTTTCCATTTTGGCTACCTGCTGCTGGGCACCCCAGCTCCCTGCTCTGCAAAGGCAACTCCAGAGTCCAGCAGGTCCCAACTTGTGTCAGAAATACACAGGCCCTCAGAGGGCCTATGCCCCTCCTACACAGAGGAGGAGAAATCTCTTCAACTAGTGCGTGAAACCTTTCCCCCGGGACCATACACAGGCAACAAAGTTGTACACAAAAGACATAAAAAGATGGCTTTATTGTTACGCCATTTTTCCGCTGTCTCCAGATCCATATCAGGTCACTGAAAACAATATGCTGCAAAATGCAATAGACCTAAGCTTGTTATGACTCTTTTACATAGCTTTTACAAGTGAACTCAGTATGAGTCTTACCTGTGTGAAGAACAGAGCTATTTCTAATTTGTCTCTATTAGCGGTTAGTTCTAAATTTTCTTCCTATGGTCCTAGCACTAGAGTTTGCATTTTTGAGGGAAAATAAAGACTTCATTAACTATAAAAACCTGAAAAAAATTCAAGCAGGTAAAATTTTGTGTCTATTAAGCTTGGAAGCACTACTATTTAGTTTAACAAAGGCACATGCATTCTATGTAATTCTTGTGTTATCCGTAATCAGTGTTCTGTTTTCCTGTACTTAAATAACGGTACATTCTTAAAGGATCAAGAAAAAAAAAAAAAGCTTTACATTAAGCTTTCAGAATTACTCCATGTGGGCTAAAAGACCACTCAGTGGCTAATATCTCCACTGAAACATTTTTCTTTAGCAGCAGTTTTGTCATCCTGATAGGTATCTTGTAAAAAAAACTTTTGTTTTTCCTGTCTCATAACAATTAAGCAGTAATTTTATTTTGAAAGAGTATTACCGCAGTTTGGGACCTTCATATCCAGCAAGGCTGTCCTCTTGTTGTTGTCATCTATGCAATATAAATCCTGAGTTTCTGTGTAAAACTTGGTCTCCTGAAATTTCTTGATCCACATAATTTCACAGGAACATTTGAATGGATTATCCACCAATATCCTATAGCAAAAAAAAAGCTAGTTTATTTAGAATGCAGAATGTGTCATGCATGTTGAAAAAAATGAGGGGCAGGGGAAGTCCAAGCATGCAGCTGGGTGAAAGTAGAAGTTGAACCCTTTAGTTAAGAAGGATAAAAAATGCAACCCTAGTAACTTCAGTGCAATACAAGCTGCAAGTGGATAATGGTTTCCAGTAGAGAATGAAGCTCTCTTTGCACCGAGAATCCAGACCATTGTCGATCAGAGAGATCACATAAATGCCTCCTGAGGACATGAAGTGTGCAAATCACTACAATCTCAGTTTATCAGAGCTGTAACCTGTTCCCACAAAAGCCATCTGCAGATCTTTGAGGATTAACAGCTGTAGGGATCATTCTTGCAAGTCTCTGAAAAAGCACTTTGTATTCACAGAAGTCATCTGCTGGACTTCAAAACCACCACAGCATGGACAAGAATTACTTGTGCAAGACACCATATGAACATTAGGCTCCCTTGGGTGAAAACCTACAATATGCGTTTTCAAAACAGCAAGATTTACTTCCCATCTTCCATTTCATTGTTTCAGTTCCCTGTAAAAGAGAAATTTTTCTTGACCAGTGGTTGAGTAGTCCTTTTCTTCCACTATTTATTTTGTGTTAAACCTACCAAGGGAGTCAGACACATCATAAGCAGGATGCTGGATAGAGACATGATGAAAGGGTAAATCTGACCTAGTAAAAGCAAACTACATGTCTTTATCTTGCTTGCTGTAATTCTACAACTGCAGCTTGCTGTAAACAGAACAGTTTTTTCTAAAAGAAGAAGCTTTTCCAGCAGCATCTTTTTAGCTACAATACCTGGAGAATATCTCCTAGTTCACCTTATCCTGAACTTTTCATCCCTTTATGCTTTTATTTACAAGAGTGCTAACAACAGGACACTTGTTTGTCAGATTTAGAAGCAGCTCCTCAAAAGCTATTTATGGCATCATTCTCCTCTGATTCCCTTTCCAATACTCTTCTTTCTCTCCTCTTTCTGATTTTCCACTTGTTTATTAGCTACTTATCTACAGAACTGCTGAACTGATACTAATTTTATCACTATTTTTCCTCCCTTCAGGCTCTGCTTTTTTCCTGCACTTTCTTTCCTTCTCTTCCCCCACATCTGTTTATTTCACTTCATTGCAATCGTGTCTGCCCGACTTTAGTTCTTCTGTCCCTACACTCCAACTCTTTCCCAGGCCCACTACACTCTACCTCAATTTTGTATCCTCTCTCTCAACTTGTCCCCCATACACATTGCCTCCATACCTCAAATACTACTCAGTTCAACCTTCACTCCCTCCATTTTTCCCATGTTTGGCTCACTCCCTGTACCCTTCCTCTGCTTCTACTACCATGACAACAAATGACCATTGTTTAACTCTGGTATTAACAACACAAATATATTAACTCCTAATTAACATCAGCCAGTTGTTTTGCCTCTAAGTGCTATTTTCCTGCCTCATTAAACTTTATTTCCATAATTCTCATCACATATACTCTGATTCTCTCACTCTCTGTCCCAAATCCTTTTTTACTTCTGTCTGCTCATAAGCAAACCAGCATCTTCAGAAAGATCAGCAACATTGACATTTTTCTCCTTCAAAATCTGTGTAAGCACCCACTCTACCCACAGCCTAAAAGAAGCTTTTCACCTGAGATGGAAAGGTTCAAGAGTGTCTTGATTTGTGACTCGGAATAAACCTATTACTGGCAGCAGACAAACTGCAAGAAACTGGGAGCCTTCAAAATTGCAGTAATTTCCTTTTTTGCATGTTTCCTAAGCTAGAGCATACCCACTCCTACATTTCTGGAACCTGGGGAGAAGGGCAAAGATGACTCCATTTCTCCACTAACTGCTTAGAAAAATTCAGGTAAGCCCAGGCTTCACACTGTGCCCTGGTCTGAGTCCTGTATCTATTTTTTTGAGGTCATGACAACTACAAAACATAGAACCTACAGCCAAGTACACAGTAACACTGGCTTTTTGGCAGGGACTAGATACAGCATATGAAGAAACGGGGACTTCAGAACCAACAGAGCTATGCAGGGCACACAGTAATGGGCGTGCTCTGCAACTACCTACGTGCTCCCCATCAGAGAGCTTGGTGACCGCCACGTTGTGAAGGAAAATTCCAGTGAGCAATGTTCCCTGGGCTGTAAAGAAAGTAATTATACCAACTTAATTATCAACAAAACATACCTAAGGCGCATAACTTATTTTTGTGGCACTGGGATTTGCTCATTTCATTTCTCACAGGCTGAAGTTCACCAGAAAAGGTCAAGGATTACAAGCCTCATGTTGCAATTCTTGGACTGGCATTTTGGACAACTTCATAGTCAAAAGTTGTCTGAGGTCTAGGAGAGCAATATTCCTTTCCCTTGCTGTCCCTGCCCTCCCAAAGGTCCTGCAGTCTCTCTGCAGCCCCACATATTAGCAAAGAATCCACAAGAAGACCAAAATTTTGGAATGTATAGCAATGCAGAAATTCTGCTTGATGGAACAGAGGATAAAAATGTAACATTGAAACAATCAACAAATATATGTTTACCAGGGCTTCATTACCAAATGATTATATAAAGTAAAATGCAACTCAAAGAATTTGAGAAAATAAAAATATTCTTCAATAGCCAACTGTAAGTATAGCAGCTGTGGGGCAAAATAAGAAAATGAGAGAGGTTTCATTTGAAGATCTGTAGTAGGCTGTATTTTCACTAGTTCAAATATTTAATACAAACAACTGTAGTTTTGTGTGAAGTAATCTCACAGTAAAATATTTTAAAGCTGAAGGGAAGAGGCTATTTTGACCTCCACGTTGTTTTAAAGGATACACTCGAACTTCTTGAAGCCCTGGAATGAAAAATCCCTCTGTATTTAAGTGCCCAGCATTGCTGCTTTCTTTGGATTAGAATTTCACTCCTAATCATTGATGGACCTCTACCTCCAACAGAACAAACCTCAAAGTCTTGTTCTTCCATTCCAGCTAAAAATAAACTTTATTTTAAGAAATGACAACTTACAGATCAGACAAACCCAGATGGCGAAAAGGCTTCTTAGACAAACTTGAGAGCTTGTTTCTGGATAAATTGCTATGGGAAAAGAGAAAGATTGCATTAATTAGAATTGTTTCTTCTTACACCGAAAATACAGCTTGTATCTCTTAAAAAAAATTAAGAACTCAAATCAGCTCTAAAAAGCCCTTATCCCTTTGACTTCAGTGGTAAAGAAATGGTGCTCAGTCTTGTTTTATGGTTTGATGAGGTTCAACCATTTGAATCCAGTCTGCATCTGAAGTCAGACACATTCACTCAGCAGGGGTCAACAGTATTTTCACCTTTAGCATTTCTGTTCATTGCAGAAAAGCAGTAGAATTAATTGTGTTTCAAAAGTATTTTGTAAAGTCCAGGTGTTAATTACATGCTCAATTTATTCATAAGTGAAATGGGTGTATCCCTTTCTTTGATGCTGCACCATACTCTGCACTCACATATTCCCTCCTCACATGCTAGCACACATCCACATCACAGCCTTTTAGTTATTCTTTTCAAATTGCATGTACAATATGCACCCACATGGAAGATCAAAAGGAAAACTGTAAAATGCCTATATTGGGCTTTTTTATGTCAATTAAGCATTTACGGTTTCCAGTGGTAATTAAGTGAAAGGTCCTCTCCCATTATGCAGAGCAAATAAATGTTCATCTGAATTAGAAATACTCCTCCCCTCCCAGGCTTACAAAATTGCTTTCTCCACCCCAAAGAAAAATAATGCTGTTTTTCTACAGTCTTATCAGTCCACCAATTAAAAACAGTGAGAGCAGTAAACTGTCTAACTGCCAGCAGTACAGCGCAAATCAGTGTTATGAGCCAAAATACCACATGAGTTTTATGTGGTATTATAAAGGCGCCATAGGGGCTCCATAGTTAAAGTTGCATTGTATTTAAAACCAGGGATTAAATCTCTTTTTTTTTCCCCCTGACTAAAGAACACAGTGTTTACTTCCCAGACTTTCAGTCCTTGATCTCTGAGTACAAGAGAAATTACAAGCTGAATCTTCTACAAACATTTAGAACAGAATCTATTTACTGTATTTCCTCATTGATTCCTTCCGGCAAACAATAGCCTGAAGTTTACAAATTGACTAGTCCTAATGTGTTAGAACAAAATAAATGAGCTACAATTTCATTAGTCCAGTTAACTGGACCGCCCTATGGCAGATGCTGGTGGAAATGTCTTATGGCCCTTCATTGGATACGGCAAAATTAAAGTACAATTTGCACATAGGACTGCAGTCATGTTTAAGTAAAAACTGCCACTATGATTTTTCCCCTAATGTGTATAAGCAGTATGTTGGGAGGTTGAAAGAAAGAAGCTGAATCCTCATACAGACTTGGGCTTTTGTCTCCAGCATGGAGACAATGTGAGACAATCAAACGCCCATCCCTCCAAGGGCGACTCTTCACTCAACATGCAGGAGAACCCCTCCAGTTCTGACTGCCAAGCAGTGGTACTACCAACCAAGCATGCACCTTCTTCTCTTACCAACGCAGCAACCAAATTCTATCTTTCCCAAAAGACAACCAGATACACAGTCAGCTTTAGCTGCAGACAGGTGCACATGCCACTCACTACTCTGGTGGAAGGCAACATATTCCAGGTGTGATGACCAGGTTTGTCTCCTGGTTTCTGCACAGCAGATGACCCTGCTCTTCCATATCAGGAGGACTCCCGCATCTTCAGATGGCAGGTTCCTCAGGGAAATCTCTGTCCAGGTGAAGCCATTTGATTTTGTGTGATCTTCCGTGGCATTCTAATGGGACAGCCAGGCCCAAGCTCTGATTCCAGACCAGGGCACATCAAAGGGGATTTTAAACCCTCTACCACAAGTACCTTCTGAAGTATCATAACAGAAATCTGAAAATGGGCCACAAACATCTTACGTAAGAGCCTCAGCCATTCTCTGAGATAATATTTCTCTATATTTTATTTTAAGAAAATAATACCTTAAAAATAAACTTTTCAAGTACATCTTAAAAAACATAAAGGCTGACTCTGGGAGGGCGTTTACTGTTAGTAACCCAGCATGGACATAACAGCCCACCTACTCTGTGGGCAGGACTAAAGCCCCATGTTTCCTAAGGATTTCCTCCTGGCTGCTTACATGTTTCCTTGCTCATGCTCATCTTGCTCATGCTCATGAGCAACTTAACTCATGCTCATCTAACTCATTCCATCTCTTTGTGAGGCGCTGAGATGCCTCCTTCAGAGCTTTGAACTATCAGCCAGCAAGCTGTGAGAATCAGGCACTGCCATAGCTGTATCTTCTTGTCACTTAGCCTCAGGCCAGCCATTGTTTTTGGAGGATTATTGCAAATCTTAAGGCAGAAGAATAGCCCTCACTTGTTTAGATTCATAAGCCAGACTTAACTGCCCAAATGTCACCAAGGCATGTTACTTTCTGAACACTTTGTGTTAGGATCAATGACTCCATGTGAGCCAGTGGAAAAACAGGACTGATAATTTAAGTAAAACTATCAAAAGAATAAAGAGTCATTATTTTGTTTCAAACAATTGCAGTTCTGAAAGATCAAAAGCACCTTGATAGCTTTAATTGTCTTTTCAGATTTTTACCAGTTGTGCTTGACACGCACCAGAAAAAGTAAGAACAGTAAGAAAAATAAGAAAAAATTCCTGTGCCTATATTTTTGATCATGGGTTGAAATATTTAGTGCTTCCAAAACTGTAGGTTTCTTCTCCCATGTAGTTCATGGCTTCAACATTTTTCAAGTTGACAAGTAATTCAACAGAAATTTTTCAGACCACTGTTACAGATTTGTCACCTTAAGTGATACTTTGACAGTAAATTTAATGTTATATGTAGTTTTCACAAACTGAGCACTTTATATTGATTATAGAGATGCCTGGTGTGGTCCCTTTAATTCATGTCAAGTGAAAAAGTCACAACTTATTAGTACAGCAGTTAAGGTCCACACCTTCACTTCCATGGCAAGAAAATATAAATTAGTTCCCCAATATAACTACACACAAAAAGATGATGGTGAGTAACTCAAAGAAGATCCATTTGGGGTTCTAAAGCTTTTTTTAAAAAAAAAAAACAACCACACAACATGTCTGGAGTACACAGCCTGGCTCCAAAGCTCTACCTAAGGAGGGGACCCAATTTCAGTCAAAAGCATGCCCACGTTTTACATACGAATATAAAGCTCACTTTACATTCTCATTCAGCTAAAAGCAAATCTGTGGCAATGTGAGGAGTGCAAAAGCAGCCTGAGAAACCGCATAAATATTCACAAAGCCAGCAACACAGGCACAGCTCTACCGCCTATAGCGCTCCTGGCAAGGGGAGGCAAGAAGAAAGACGAGGGAACAGATCTTAGCAGAACTGGGGGGAAGAGGTGAAGAAATTGCTATTTTGCTACGCTCGGTCTCCCTCCACAGGCAACTGCCTGCTCTGCCTATGGCTGGAGCCAGCCGTGTGTGCAAGCAAGGAAAAATCTGCAGCAAGGTCTCAAAGGGTTTCATTTGGCTGCCCTACCTAAACCCAAGCACTGTAGAGATACAAACTCTTCTTAGAGCTGTATATAGTCACCAAGGCATGTTACTTTCTGAACACTTTGTGTTAGGATCAATGACTCCATGTGAGCCAGTGGAAAAACAGGACTGATAATTTAAGTAAAACTATCAAAAGAATAAAGAGTCATTATTTTGTTTCAAACAATTGCAGTTCTGAAAGATCAAAAGCACCTTGATAGCTTTAATTGTCTTTTCAGATTTTTACCAGTTGTGCTTGACACGCACCAGAAAAAGTAAGAACAGTAAGAAAAATAAGAAAAAATTCCTGTGCCTATATTTTTGATCATGGGTTGAAATATTTAGTGCTTCCAAAACTGTAGGTTTCTTCTCCCATGTAGTTCATGGCTTCAACATTTTTCAAGTTGACAAGTAATGCAACAGAAATTTTTCAGACCAGTGTTACAGATTTGTCACCTTAAGTGATACTTTGACAGTAAATTTAATGTTATATGTAGTTTTCACAAACTGAGCACTTTATATTGATTATAGAGATGCCTGGTGTGGTCCCTTTAATTCATGTCAAGTGAAAAAGTCACAACTTATTAGTACAGCAGTTAAGGTCCACACCTTCACTTCCATGGCAAGAAAATATAAATTAGTTCCCCAATATAACTACACACAAAAAGATGATGGTGAGTAACTCAAAGAAGATCCATTTGGGGTTCTAAAGCTTTTTTTAAAAAAAAAAAACAACCACACAACATGTCTGGAGTACACAGCCTGGCTCCAAAGCTCTACCTAAGGAGGGGACCCAATTTCAGTCAAAAGCATGCCCACGTTTTACATACGAATATAAAGCTCACTTTACATTCTCATTCAGCTAAAAGCAAATCTGTGGCAATGTGAGGAGTGCAAAAGCAGCCTGAGAAACCGCATAAATATTCACAAAGCCAGCAACACAGGCACAGCTCTACCGCCTATAGCGCTCCTGGCAAGGGGAGGCAAGAAGAAAGACGAGGGAACAGATCTTAGCAGAACTGGGGGGAAGAGGTGAAGAAATTGCTATTTTGCTACGCTCGGTCTCCCTCCACAGGCAACTGCCTGCTCTGCCTATGGCTGGAGCCAGCCGTGTGTGCAAGCAAGGAAAAATCTGCAGCAAGGTCTCAAAGGGTTTCATTTGGCTGCCCTACCTAAACCCAAGCACTGTAGAGATACAAACTCTTCTTAGAGCTGTATATATACTACACTCACAAATCTATGATTCAGTGATGCAATTATACACAGCCTGCCATGTAACAATAGCTATTTTTTAACATTTTTGGAAATACGTGCTTGCTGTGAAATGTTTTTTTATGTTTAAAGGTACTGACAGTATACCATGTATGTGTGTTACACACATCAAAATTACTGTTAGCTGCAGATAAGCTTGTATATTACAGCACTGCAAAACTAGGACTGTTTAATAGCTTGTTAAATGCAACTGTTGACTAATTTGAGTCTATGATCAATGAGAATACCAGAATTAGATGAGTAACGCTATGAATGACGTCTATGTAATATCTATCAGAACATTTATTTTCCTGTCACTACTTAGATCTTTGCATCATCCATAACTCTAGAAAGATATCTGGGCTACAGAAGTTTGGCCAAGAAAATAAGGTAATGACAAAAAAAGGCTTAAGGAAATGTGTGTTAATAAGTTCCTTATAATCTGATATTCCTATATGATTCATAAAGTAAATACTATGTTCCTATAATAAAGCTCCTTAACTACATCAGAAGATTCTTCATAGAAGAAAATGCACGCTGTAATAGTATCACTAGCAAAATTAAAGCTTATGCATTTACATCAGTCTTCAGAAAAGCATTTGGAGTTTTTGTTTTCTTTATGGGATAGCAACATAGTGTTGTTTCAAAATAAAATGCAAGACTTCTCAAAGACCTGTACTCTGAGGTTACTCTTCCAAAGTAAAATGATTTCAGCTCTTAATAGTTTTCACGGTCCCAACCACAACGGGGGCTGCACTTCATTCCCAGTGAAGTCAACAGGAGTTTATTGCTGATGACAACAAGCAGTGATTCACTGGGGCTTTCAGAAACATTTTAGTGTGCATCAAGACTTCCCAGAGAAAACAAACAAATGCATTCTTTGCAGGGAAAATAGATCAGCCTCAGCAAAAAATGTCTCCATACTTACTGCTTTGTCACATGCATTTATAAAGCAGGTGGTGCCACTCAATATTTTCCATCTTATCTGGGCTTATCCTGTGTCTGCTAACACCACTAAATCCTCACCAAAAGAAAACACAGTAGGAGACTGGATAAGCTCCTCGTTCATAATGTTAAGTATTCTGGATCAGAATTTCCTGTACATCAACCAAACAGATGTCAGTCAGCCCAATTTGTTTCCAACAAGCAGCTTTATGAACTACAGATCTGTTACAGCCTGCTTACCAACAGATACGCATTCCACGTTTGATTGCATGCTCCAACTGAAGCTCTTCCTATGGATGAAGTACTTTAGAGCCATCTTGTCCACATGGATTCTGTAGTGCATAGCAGGTCATAAATGCACAATCATACTTTTCCCTCAAGTGGGAACTCTAATAGGGTCTCAATCTTCTGTCCAATGATCAGTTCTCAGAAAACCTGTTTACCTGTGTAAGTTTTGGTTAGAAGCAGCCACTGGGGACAGAGACACTTTGTGACTGCAAGAACCCCATTTCCCTAAGGGAACAGGCTAAAAAGCCTATCAAGAGGATCTCATCAATTGTCTCAGTTACCTTTCTCAGTGTACACTAGTCCATACAGCTGGGAAGGTCTTCCAAACATCTATTTACCTTGCTCCAAATTAAACTCATTATTTCTCACTCTGTACTAATGGTCATGGAGAGACCTGATTGCTCTCCTCATCATAATTGCTCTTCGTTTAAACATAAGAAGATGTATGTTCATTTTCAGTCTTCTCTTTATTGGACTGAACATACTCAGCCTCGGAGTCTTGTTAAATTATTTGCTTTAAAAGCTCCTTATAGTTCTATTGCTCTTCTCTGTAATATCTTTCAAGATGGGTAGATTCAATGTCCTAATGTATATTCAGTATTCTGATAGATGTCTTCCCAGCAGCTAAGGTAACACAGAAAAGATGTAAAAATCTAACACAAAATTCCTTTTGATCCCAGACTGAATTTGCTTTGTTCAGCTGCATTACACTGAGATTCTGTCCCAGCACAGCCACTACATCCTTCTCTGCAAATGTGGCCCTCAGCCAGTTAAGTTCTTATTGCACAATTCCGCAGCCAGTGCATATGCACATGGCTTTATGGAATTTCATCTTTTACAGCCATAATTCACCAAGCAATTGTTACACAGGTAAACACAAGAATTCACTCTAGAAGATAATTCCCTTATATCGCCTACTAATTACTAAAATCGTAAAAGCTACTTAGTTTATTAATGACTATATGAAGTAACATATAGTAACACGTAACAGCCTCATAGGCTGACAGGACTGGTTCACACTCCTCCAGTGACTGTTCCACATTAAGAACAGCAGTTATTGTTTAGGCAGATAAGGACAATCACATCCACTTCCTTACATGAATTAATTGCCATTCTTTGGAAAACATAGGTGCAGGGAGTAATTCCATTTCATTAGCAAAGCAATCAGCTCTGTGCTAAGTTCGACAGTTCTTCCATATTACAAGTAAGATGCTTCCTTGAAATATGGAAGAACCTTTTAAGCCTGAGGCTTGGCCTTATGTCTTTCTGATCTCATTTGGACTTTAAGAAAAGCAAGAGGTTAATTGCCAAATACATCTAACAAAGATGGATGGACTGAAACACATACTTGAATACATGGCTAAAACAGGGTACATGTGAGGAACTGTGCCCCTCACATGACCTCAATGTTTTGTAGGACTAAAGCCACCGTTTTCCATGTAAGTAGCAGAGCGAGCTACTTTGTGACTGTCCCATTGGAAGGCACCTCAGTTCTTCAGGGACATGTACTTATACTAAAAAGAAACAATGTCCTTCATTTTAGCTGATCATTTTTCTCTGTACTTTTAAAAAGAACTTGATCAGTTCAGCCTTTGCTAAACCCAGTAATCTAGAAAAACACAGTCAAAAAGCTGCACAGGCACCAACTTTGCTTCCTGAAGCTCATAAACCACAAATAACATTTGGGTGTGAAAGTAACTTCATTCTTATATTCCACTTTGGGTGCATTAGTTCAGATCTTGAGTGAGCTTCTGAAGTGAATCTTCTGATCACCCCCACGTACAGGAGTTAAGTTCACAGTAATGCCAGTCTCTGGGCATGCACACCGGTCAAATCCCATTAGATGGGCTCCATGCATGCACTGACTGCACTGCAGCTGCTAAAATATATTCAGCCCACTGAATCAGACTAGAGCAAGTCAAACCCACGTCGCCAAGTGCAATGCATAGATAGTGTGGACATCACATCCTTGGCACCACCTCACTCAGCTGAGAGAGGCACTCTTTGTGCTGAACTACTTACCACAAAAGACACAGCCATAGCTCCTTGTTAGAGACAGGATAATTAACCAGATGGTCTTCTTACCATCCCATGTTATGTTCTTACAATCTTCTGGTTCCTTACAATACAAGCTCTACGTTCTACCAGCTCCATACCATACATATCTTATTTAGGGTTAATTAATGATGGAAGACCATTATCAGTGTGTTTTGTTAACACGTTTTACATGAAGGAAATGGTAAAAGAGAGAAATAAATTAACACGAATTGGGCAGTTTTGACTTAGAAGGCAGATGCTATCCTTACTCACATGTATTGTAGGTTGACATTTTTCACAAATGCCTGACGGGACACAAATCTTAAGCCTGAATCCACCACGGTCCTGTGAAAACACATAAAACTTTTAGAATATTTCATTTAAAATATAATGCAAAATGTTAATAATGGTTAAAACAAAAATGTGGATGAAATCTCAACAAGGGTGAACTCCATGATCTACAACTGTCCTCTATAAGGCCCAAAGTGAGGCCTACATTCCGATGAGGTCTCTTATTTTCTTCTATACAAGAAATAAAGGAAAAAGAGCCTTACAAAATATGCATCCCATATACTCACAGATTTTTAAGTCCAACATAATATCCAACTTCATTGTCATTGATACTTTCTAATTTTCGCTGGTTTGCGATGTAACTGTTGAAAAAGGAAGACAGAATAATGTATGAAAGTGGATCCTTCCATTGCTTTAACTGTTTGTTCAAATATCGAGCAGTGAAGTCTGAAAGTCAGCAGTGATTGCTGACCTATTGTAATTAACACTAAGATCTAGGTAGAGCATCTGCAGAGTGAAAGTGCTGCTTAAAATCTTCCCCATCATTTAAATGGTACTTCCTGGGACAGGGCTGGAGGAGAAAGAGCTTAGTCTTACATACCATTCATCGAGGAAGCAAGTCACCCTGAAGGCACAGTAAAGAAAGCATTACAATACCACCACTTTCCAGGACACACCTCCCTACCTCTTGATCTTGCTTGGATTCAGCAAAAGGGCAAACTCTAACAGTGGTAGTGGAGTTACCCCCACTTACATTGAGGGGGGAATCAGACTGCCCCAGTCTTTTCTCTCATGTTCTTACCTTAATCACTTATTAAACTGATTTCCTCCCTGCCATAAAGTAGTGTCAATTCTATTTACAAAGTGTGGCAATAGGAAAACTGAGAAAAGGGAGGCTGTACTTCATAATGGTACATACACAAGGAGAAATTAAGAGAAGAGAAACTGTCATAGTAGACCAAAGAACTGAGTCCACTCACATACCACAAATACTGCCAGAACCCCAAGAGGATTTGGGCATGGAAGCTGGTCCTTTGTATTATCCTTATGTGAGATCTAGGAATAACCAGTGACATCCCACAGACTGGAAATTAAAATGTTTTACAGGTAATGCATGGGATGATATATCATCTGTTACCTCTTCTGCAGCAAGAAAAGAAGTTTCATGGTGCAAATCATGCAGTCTAGGAAGAAGAAATCAGTGGAAACTGCAATTCAACTGACATTATGGGCAGAAAAGTAAGCCTCATGTAAGAAATGCCTTGCTAAAGAGTCCATGCATTTCAAAAAATAACCCTAGTGACAGAAAAACTTAAACAGAGATTGACCCGTATTTTCATGAGCATCCAGAACTAACCAAACCTGCAGTTTTCCCTAAAAAGAAGGAGTCTGTCTTTGCTAGAATAAATCTTATCTTCATTTTAAACATTTTTTTTTATTATTTAAAGGGAAATATGGTGAATTGGAAAGAAGGTGTATTGCTTTCCCAAAGGCAACCCATCTACCTCAACTGGTGTGCTAGAGAAATTCACTGTGTGCCCACATCCCAACAGAAGCTTGAGTATCCCAAATGTTGGGCTGGGCTGTCCTCCAAAAGCTGCAAAGCTGACTTGGGCTATGCTCTTGCCAAGCACTAGGAAGAGCAAAAAGTTTCCCCTAATGGAATGCATTGTCCCATGGGAAAAAGAAGAGCAGTAAAAAGACAATGCATGTGCTAAACAAAATACATTACTACAGCATCATATGACACTGACTGCTCTGCAGGACTTCTTAGGATAAGATTAACATGGTATTACCATTAACATTACACAATAATGGAGTCCTTCATATTTTCTGTTTCCTTCCTTGGATTTTTTAAGCCAATTAGATTTACCCTCTTAGGGTTTATTAATCTATTTTTTTGTTGGTTGGTATATTTACTTATTTTTCCAAGTAAAAGCAATGAAGTATTTTATAAAAGACTATCAATTCTTTCACCTGAAAGTCCTATAAGTGAATGATCATGCTTCCTCTGAACCTGCCCTGAAGAGGAACTTATGACTTAATTATCACCTTCACTGTCATTTGGACATCATCATGCTAAAATAAAGTTATGCAAGTCACCTTCCTCATCCTGCCCTTAGCGTTCAACCAACGAGAATTCTATCAAGACCAGATAGATATAGTGAAAACATAGAAGAGCAAAATTTAAAGAAAATGGACAAAGAAACAAAAAGGAAGAAAAGACTCAGAAATGCAAAACAAAAGAAACTGAGTGACCAGTTGTACTAGTTGAAGATTAAGCCATCAGAAAAACCTCTGACAAACACTGCCAGAACACAAATCCATCACTTAAACACACTTGTCACCCATCCAAATCTGACATTGCGATTTTAATCATAAAAACATTTAACTAGAACCTCCCACTACGAGAAGCTCCAGAACTTGACATAACTTATAGTGTCGCACAGGAATATATTAGTGTATTACATCCTGTAGTAAGCCTCTGACAGTGTAAAACAGCTCAGCTCTGCTGCATTCAATGAATCTACCACAATTTACATCAGATGAGGATCTGAGTATGAGCACATAATCTATATAAAAAGATCAGTGCTGGTCCATTAGGGAACAAACCAAAAGGATGATATTTGGAAAGAAGAAGTGGCATGAATTTATGATCTTTTCTTTCCTTCTCTTATTGCATCCCTTAAAAGAAAAGCAAGGGGGCCATACTTTGAGCTGGTACTAGTCTCTTCATGGTGCACGATTTATGATTCCAGTTCCTAAATGAAAGAAACGAAAGAGATCACAGATTTTCCATAACCACACTTTGAGTAGGGACACAGAAGAAATTCGGGCTAAGTGCAACTAACTCAAAACACTAACTGCTCTGCAATACGTTCGTAAAAACACTCTCAGTACAAAACATGACAGTAAAGCAAGTTTCATGCAGTTGGAAATCCTTGAAGAAAGAGTGGACAGATGTGATTTACCGCAAGCAGGTCGCAGCCTCTTACACTTCCTTACTTGCTTAACAAGTCTGTTTTAAGTTAAGCCCTTGCAGCTATTTCATAGCAGCGAGAAAGAAAGGAGTATGATGACTGTAGCTGTACACTGTAAAGGGAAGTTATTCTTCTGTTTAATTTAGAGGGAGGTCTGAAATAAAACCGCTCCCTAACTGAAGTCTATTTTTACCTTCTTCACGACTACTCTACCTTGATGTTACTTATCATCAAACATTAATACTCTGAAAGCTCTGACTTGCAGTGGGCGACACTGAGAAAAGTAATTTGCCTGCCTGTCCTTAGGAATATCCACCCTGTTCTTTAACCGAACATTTTTATTGTAGCACAGAAGAAAAACATCCTGACTCACGGCTGGCAGGAGTCACGTGAGGAGCTCGGAAGCTCCCACTGCACACCACAGCAAAGCGTGGCACCCCCAAAACCTGGCTGGATAGCACCCAGTTGGATCACACCTCTGGGCTCACAAACAGCAATTGCCACCTCTAAACCAAACCCTCAGTTGCCTGTAATGCTATTCACTTGACTATAGTATAACATTCTGCCTCTCCTTCCATGAGTCATGAGTATTTGTTTTCAGACCTTTAATTTCATCTCCCCTTTGTAAACTACTGATTAATTCTAATAAAGGCATTCAGAATCACACACCTACTGACGGCACATTGCAACCTACAATAACACATTAATCTCAGCGCACTTCGGCAGCGATTGAATAATGTCACACACTCATACTTCCCCACTTCTGCAACATTCTGGAAAGGATATTTTTAAATCCTATTGTAAAAGAGTTAACTCCTCCAAGTAAATTCTTCTTTAAGAGGGTGGTCTTCTCTTCGCTCATTACACATGTGAAAGACTATGGATACAATCTGTCTAACAGTCAGTGAAGCAACCTCTGGATGGGAAGAGCACTAAGAGAAAGCAGGTCCTGCTCTTTAAAGTGGTCTAGACTATTCTGTGCCTCAATAGCTCAAAAAAAGGATATCACTCTGCCTTTCAAATCTTTTCCTTAACCTAAAAAAAAGCTAGTCATGCCTTCCTAGCTTATTTGATTTACTCTATTTCCTCTGGATTAATGTATGGTAAGGTATACTACTCCATTTGGAGCTATAAGGACATGCTGGAAAACTAGGGCACCCTAGTCTTAACTCTATAGATGCAAGAAAATAACACTGAAATTTAGCTCCAGAAGTACTTCTCTTGCCAGAAAAATCCCTTTATGGGAAACATATTTTCTTAACACTCCAAAAAATAAATCAATTATATGTTTAGCTCTGGTTCATACACTTGGGGAAAAAAGTTTTTTAAATTAATAAACATTCCCTGGTGAAATGGTTCTGAACTTTGGAAAACTTTATACTCTGAGTTAATTTTTCACTAAATCTTTAGGGGAAAAAGCAGCACACTCCAGACACTGAACTGTCAGTAGACGAATTACCATTTAATGATAGATCACGTACGTCCCTAGCCTACACTACTGTGAGAGCTGTATGGTAACACTGATAATTAAACACTGCAAAGTTCCCTAGTGCTGTATTTTCTTACAAACTCAAATGTCAGACCCAGTTCATCAAAGTTAGGGACATTTTCAACACACCTGGGCTGATTTATGGTTATACATCAAAATCGTGGGAAATTTGTAAGCTTGACACAATACTTGATGAAACTTGGCAGATTCAAATGGGTTTCACTTGCAGCCCCTCTGAAAGCAGATTTAAAATAATGCTCGAGGGGTGCGCCTTCACATAGTTTGAAAAGGAAGCATACAGCTACACGACGCTGCATATCAGGAATGCCAGGTTTCAGACAGATGTAGGGACCAATGATATAATCTCCACCCAAGCAAGAAATCTTTCTATATAGGACCAAGCTCCCTCTAGGAAGGAACCTCTAACAGCAAGCAATGAGTATGATACAGACACCTACAAGCGACACATTTTCTACAGATATATTTTGCTGTCTCCATCTGGTACCATCAGTGCCAGATTTCATGAGGCCAACCTCAAGACACAGAACTTCTACTGCTACAAGAGCATGCCGTAACTCAGGAAAGAGGCAGTGTGTCGAGTTAGTCCACTGTGGACCTACCTAGGATTCACCGCTTTTACAAACAGGTGCTCAACTCCTCAGTTGTCTGGTGTCTCCTGACAAATTCTGAGCAAGTGCTGCGGTGGTATCTTTTTTTGAGCTGTGAATCACTCTGTATTTCACAAAGAGTGAAAAACTGATTGCCACTATCACAGGCTCCTTAAATCATCCTTGATTTAAGGTTTTTTTCCTCCCATTTAGAGTATTTAAACATGAGTCACAGAAGAATACAGGAGGTAGCTCTCCACGTGCAGTACAGTAGCTCTGGAGCT